TAAACAGTGCTGTAGCAAAGTGTGTGTGTGTGTGTGTGTTGGGGCGCGGGGGGAGGGAGTGAGGAGCCAGCAGGTTGACTGCCCTGGGTGTTGAAGCGAGGGGGTGAAAACAGGTACTGCCAAGCCAGGGGAAGGAGCAGGACAGAGCTGCAAGCAAGTCATTTCCAGGGGCGTGGGGACGGCAGCTCCTGCTGCTATGTGCACTTTCAGGCAAGGATGCTCTGGAGGGCATATGCCCCCCAGAGCTGTGTGGGGTGTGAGGGTGGACTGCTGCTGTGGCCTTTGCCCCAGGCACCAAACATCCTTGCCATGGCACTGATCTTATGCCACAGGTGGGCAAAATACAGCCCCTGGGCTGGATTTGGCCCGTGGCGGGTCCCTTAATCCCTCCAGGTATAGGCACTGCCCATCCGTGGCACCTCCTGCTGCCCCCTGGACATGTAGCGGAGCTGGGGTAGCTCCGTGGCTGGACTGCCTTTCAAGGCAGCCCAGTTTGGGGTGCCTCCTTCCGACTGCTGCTGCTATGACTCCAGCCCCATGGTACCGTCCATGCTCATGGCCCCAACCCAGCCTGCCCCGTGCCTGCTGTGGACTTGCCCACCCAGGCTCAGCAGTGGCAGCAGCAGTGGCAGCTGGGCAGAAACTGTTCCTTGGCATGGAAAAAGCGGCCCCTCCCCTTCGCCACTGCTACGCCCTTCCTGCTACAGCTGTCCAGAGGCTGCACTGGGCTGTGCTGCATTTGCTCTGCATTGCCACTGCTGCCCTGCCCAGAGGCAGTGCTGACAGTGGCAGAGATAAAGGGCAGCCCAGCATGGGCTCTGGGTGGCTGCAGCAGGATGGGCCTGGCAGCAGTAAGGGGGAAAGGCAGTTTCTGCCCAGCTGCCACCACTGCTGAGCTTGGGTGGGCCAGTTCAGAGGAGGCACGGGTGGGCCGGGCTGGGGCTATGCACACGGGTCCACCGTGGGGCTGGGGCCAGTGGAGGCAGCAGATGGAAGGAGCTGCTGCTGCCTGGGCTGCCTCGAAAGGCAGTCCAGCCATGGACCCACTCCAGCTCTGCTACATGTCTAGGGGGCAGCAAGAGGAGCCACGGATGGGCAGTGCAGAGCAGGCATGGGGCACGGTGGGGTAGGAGTTTTGTGCATGGGTTCTGGCTACCCCACTTCTGCCAGGGTGAGAACAGGCATGGGGCGGGGCTGGGGCTGTGAACTGTTGGGGGTGGCGGTGATGGACTGCAGGGTGTTTGGGCTCTGGGCTGTTGCAGGGAAGGGGCAGGTGCTGACCAGCTGAGGGGGGCATGTGTGGGGGGGGGGTGCCATGCACAGCCCACCATACCCACAAACCCTCCCCTGCAAACCTGACGACCACACCCTCCCCCACACAAACACACACCCCACAAACACTGCACCCACGCACACCCTCCCCAACACAGATCAGTGCACATCTGGGGAAGCCCCACTCACTGCTGGGCACACATACCCCACCACACACATTCACCCACACCCACCCATGCCTACCCCACACATCCCCCCACACCTCCAGCCACTTTCTCCTCCACACATCCCACAGTCCCCCCACAAACCCCATACCCACCTACGCATCTCCACAAATGCCCGCCCACAAACCGCCCATACCTACCAACCACACACACCCCCACACCCCACATACACACCCACCCACAGCCCTCCACAAACCCCATACCCCCCACCCCTCCAAATCCCACCTGCAATATACAAGAGTAAGACTTTATTTTGAGGTAAAAAATTGGCTGATGGGGCGCATCCAGACAGTAGTGGTGGACAGGTTGTACTCAACCTGGCGAGATGTGAGCAGTGGGGTACCTCAGGGCTCGGTCCTCGGGCCCGCACTGTTTAACATCTTCATCAGTGACTTGGACGAGGGGGTGGAAAGCACGCTGTCCAAGTTTGCTGATGACACTAAGATGTGGGGCGAGGTGGACACACTTGAAGGGAGAGAGAGGCTGCAACTA